CCTTCACCTGACTATCTGAAACCTGAATGATGGGTAGAATCTGGCTCAAGATTTCATGAGCAGATTTAACAGTTCCTTTAACCTAGTTCACTTGTGGAGGAAATTCAAGTCCTTCAAAAGTCTTCCCTTATGAAGAGGACAGAAAGATACTCTACCTGAACGGTAATAACTGGGTACTTGTACGGCACGGAGTTCAGTATCCGAACAGAATAGGTACTGTACAAAAATGTTGGCTCTTCATTTACATCTAGCACTGAGATTGTCAGCATCGCCACATTTTGAGAAAATAGACCTGTTAAACAAACACAGGTTAACTCAGACACTGCTCAGACTCAGGTCAAACAAAGCACGGCTTCCAGAGGCTGGACCAGGCTCCAGCTGTGCTGCATGTGGGGATGAGGGAGAAGGACGGAAGCGCAGAAGGGACATGACCCGGGGCTCCACCAAAAAGCTGCAGGGCAAGGTAGAAGGCCACAGCACTGCTCCCTCAGCCCTCCCAGTGCCAGCTAGGACCCTCTCCTCAGGCTGAGGTAGGTCCCTGTGGGTGTTTGCATGGCTGAGGAAGCTGCGCCTTTTCCTTGGTGCTCAGCCCTGACCGCCTCCCGCTTGTCATCTTTCACACCAGGACTTCCAGTTAAAGACAAGCCTGTTTTCTCTGGTTGTTTGCAAATACAGAAGACAATTGTCAGGTATTCACTGCCCCTGATTTAAGCTGGAATGCTGTTCAAAGAAAAGTTACCTGAACGCTGGGCTCGTGCAGCAGATGAGGTGTTTTCATTCGCTTCAATGAAAATTACATACTGAGAAACTTCTTCATAGTTCAAATTAACTACTGTTTTCAGCTGGCCACTTTTTTGATCCAGTGTAAAATGACCTGAAAGGCAAATGTGCACCTTAATTCTTACTGTTACCATTTCACTATACTTGCACTTATTTCCACCAGTTTCTAATTATGCCTTTTTGTGTGTGTGTGTGGCAAATGGAGTCACACCAGCACTGAGAGACCTAAACAAAAACCAGATGCCCCTAAGTGCAAGGAAATGACAGACCAAGAGTGATTGGCAAGCAGGAAGCTACTTGCTTATAACCATTTCTATTTTGATTCCCTTAGCCTGCAAATCATTCTAACTTAAGGTATAGGAACCCATTTGCTGGCAAGTTCCATCACCAATTCTCTTGTCGAAGATCAACCAATACCCTCATTCTGTGAAAGAAATATATATTTTTTACATTCTTTCTTTAAAAAATAAAGATCATTAAATACAGCAGTATCTGACACAAAAATGACAGGTTAATTTATTATCTTAAAAAGGCAGAAAGGAAATACTCACCTGCATTATTGCCAGATACAATTGTGTAATCAATCTGCTTTCCTAAAGTTTCAGACACAGCAAAAGTGTAAATTAAATAATCCACTCCTGTGTTTTCCATAACTGAAACACTAATATAGAAAAGAAATGATAAATCATAATGTTATTTTTCATATTAATTATTGTGCTGACAGAGTTTGAAATTTAACTCCTCAAGAGCAAGTTTTCTCCCCTCTAGATGTTTGCTAGAGCTCACTGGTCTTCAGAGTGCAGTGTAATTTCTACCTTTCCAGATAGAGATTTGTTTATCCTTCGGTAAAAGACGAGGAGGATTTTCATTTATGGGCTGAAACAGAGCAGGTATTAGCATAGACAGCATTTCTTATATTCAATTAGCAATGACTGCAATAAAAATGTGTATATATATATATATTTTAATTACTGTGCAAGAGGAAAAGGACAAAGAGGATGATTTACACAAGCTGCAGAAAAAGAAATAAGAGGTAATGCCCAGCATCCAGTACACAGAAGCACTGGACTAGCAGAAATTCCTAGACTAGCTATTTAAAATCTAATGTCCTTTCTTCTACAAAAAGAGAAAAGGAATTGTTGTGAAGCTCAGCTTCAGCTTTACTAGGTTTTCCACAACATGGAGAATATGTACCAGCCATGTAACTTAATATGGAAACCTCACCTGATTTCTGCGTTGTCAAACTGAGGAACAAATGGGCGGTTGTCAAGCACATTAAGAGTAATCGTAGCAGTGCTGTTTAATGATGGAGAACCATGGTCTTCAGCCATTACTGTTAAATGGATCTCTCCTGATCTGGACAGGTTTCCAGTTGTTATTATTTTCCCCACACTCCTATCTTCTATCAGGAAGAACTGGGTGAAGTTTATATCGGGGAGGATGTAATATCCAACAAGGCCATTTTGCCCCTGCCATGGAAGGAACACAACTTTATGTAACTATTGATTGCAAGACCATATTACTTCAAGTCTTTTGGTACAGACTTACTGGAATCTTAACATTTCCATGCCTACATGGGCAGAATGCCAGAGGCATTTAAAATAACCGGAGAGAGCTGGGCTCAGAGTTAGTTGGTACAAAGCTGTAGCACAAGAGCAGCAGCATAGAAAAGGGCCAAGGGACAAACTTTCCTCCAGCAAATTATTACTGATATTCCAAAAGTCTATATTTATAGTCATATATATATATATAGTCTTATAAGACTATAGTCTTATAAAAATATCCTTATATAGAAAAGTATTTAGTGTTCTCCCTTAGGTTCCTCATGGGCCTTGAGTTCTGCACAAACTTTTAGCCTATCTCAGCTCATACAAAAACATTAACACACTAGTTTTGTGAGCGAAGTCCACAAATTACAATTCTAATTCCAGATTTTCAGAAGATGAGAAGAAGGATATTAATAAGTCAATACAAGAAAGTGAACATTTCTTTATCTTCTAGGCTCCCCATATGACTGGAGGCAATGTGCTTCAGATTCCTCATCTGTCAAAGTAAGTTAGAAACAGCTATTCACTTTCCACAGAAGGCATACAACTTAGAGGTTCACACCATATGTCATATGTCCTGGAAACTATATTTGGGTATCCCTGTTAATACTGAATTTCCAGAGGAAAAACTCCTATATCAATATTAAAGAAAAATACATGTGCACTGTGAGTACATTTTGAAAGATAGGAACAATTGGTATTTCTAGAGAATGGAGAAAAATATAAAAAATATATTTGGGCTGCAGCTAAAAGCAGTCTCAGAATCAAAAACTAGCACTTACCTGATCTCTGTCCGTGGCATTCACAGTTATGACAGGAGCACCTACAGGATTAATCATATTTATAGAAGCAGAATAGGAATTCTGAACAAATACTGGAGCATTATCATTCACATCAATCACTAGAACCGTGACAGTAGCAGTCGCCTAGAAAACAAAATGATTTCTTGCATTTAAGAATATTTAGCATGTTTGATTAGTGATATATTTTTGTTATTTGTCTATGCAACAACAACCAAAAAAAACATTAATTGGACTTTGAAAATGCTGCACTGAAATAACAGGCTATGTTTCGTTTTGTAAACTCAACATCCAATATTGCTCCAGGATTTTAATACAAAAGGGACTGTAAATTCCAAGTAGCAGTAGGATTCTACTTTTGGAAAAAAATTTTGAATGAGTTAGAAGTATTTAGGAGGCCAATATATCATATTGCTTCTGCTAAATGGGGTAAGAGAACACCACATGTTCTAATTTTATTAAATATGCTTGTAATAGTTTCTTAAATAGAAGAAATTCAACAGAACTAGAACAATTTTCTTCAAATTACTTTTGCTGCCACAGAAAATTACCAGAGCATTTACAGTATTAACTAACAGCATCAGGCAAGAATTCTTGTTCTCCAGCACAGATTGGTCAAACAAGTCAGGGTCAAATTCTGTCATGCATAATTATGGAGTATTTTAATTAATTATGAAGTATAGTACTTCTCAGCCTGGGCACAGGTAGCAAAAATATGACCCTAAGCATGATTAGGTGAGTAATTTCTTCTGCACAATAAATGTCTTTTATAGACCTCTGTCCCACCAGTTCGAATCCACTGTGACTAGGAATGTCACTCTTCATTTCAGCAATGCCCTTTTACCTGATAAAAAGGAGCGGATTTATTGTTGACTGCGCTCACTGTAAGGCTGTAGTTATTCATGGTTTCATAGTCTGGAGAGGTCTTTATCTTAATATCCCCATGTATTTCATCGATTTCAAATATATTTCCTCCACCACCTGAGATACGTTAAAAGAAGCATTATCAATTAATGCATCTTAGAAACACATGTTTAGCAACACTTCTAAATGAAAGGTTTACCTGTGTCTTGAACTAATGAAAATGCCCTTTTTTTTAAATAAAGCGGGGGTCATGTAGAGAAAACATTTTGAGTGGATGAGCATTTGAAACGTGAGCCAACAGAATGGGCCCTGCAGATACACCTATTTCACTCAAACGTCAATAGCACTTATGCTTGCAAGGCATACAAATGATGATAGACAGTAATTAGAGTTCAGGTATAAAACTCTGGAAACGAGTTCATCCATGCTTGTGTAACTGTAGGACCAGAGGACACATCCACGTTTGTGTAACTGTAGGACCACAGGGCACAAAGGCCTTTTACAGTCCTCCGACCTTCTGTACGTTCAGTCTCAGGTTACTGGTTGCAACAGTCATGAAGTCTGTCACAAGATAGTGTGACAGATCAGCGAAGATCACTGGGAAGAGATGTCATTACATTTACTCTGGCTCTAATGAGTGACACACAGAACCGCAGAAAAAACAATTTGACTGCTAAAAGACCTGGCAGTGATTTTAACTGGTTTTGGCCACCCTTGTCCAAAGCACATCAAAAACTATGTGCATATTAGAAATGAAAGACCCGAAAATATGTACTACATTTACTCATAATGGTCCAAACACCAGAAAAAAAACAAGTTACAATGTAACTCCTGGCAGCTTTGGCCTGTAGGGCTCTACATGTCCATCTCTATCAGGTTTAAATGCAGGGCAAAGAGATGCTTTTCCCAGCTGTGATACCATCAGCTACTACGGTTAAATGTGACAGGAAACGTGAACCAGAGTTTTTGGTCACCGTAGTTCACAAGCTGGCACATTAATGTAAAGCAAAAGCACAGCCGGTTAACATCAATAGCCAGGGCAGAGATCCAAGGTAGCAGAGTAGGTGACATGGTGACACTTCTGCAGCAGAGGTAAACATGCCCAGCAGCAGAGTGAAGCAGACAGCTCTCCAGCCACCCTCAATAGTGATTCGGGGCCCTGGTGCTCTTGTGATACCGTTTACATCTGCTAAAGGTAGCTGAGAAATGCTCATAGTCCACAAGCTGAGGACAGGTTTAACGCAGTAGCGTTTGGCGCCTTGTGACACAGGCACAAACAGTATTACAGTCAAAGCTGAATTAAGCCCTAAGATCTTTATTTGTCATTTAAGAAAGTCATGACTGCATTTTTTTAATGAAAATTACTTCTATTGATTACAGTTGAAACACTAGGACAGTTAAAGTTTTTTAGAAATATGGCTTTTCATTGTAATTAAGGGTATGGATGAAATGGTAAAAATGGTAGTTCCTACAAAGAAAGTTGCTACTCAACCAGTTCAAAGATTCTGTGACTATAAATTAGAAAAATATCAAACCAGGCAAAAAGCTCCTTGGCTTATGTAAAAAGAGATTAGCAGCTAACAGGCATAATGCTACTAATGCTCGTGAGAGTGTAGACAACAAATTGACAGTTGTTTTAGTGCAGTAAGAGAATCCCTTTTTACCTGTGATGTTATATAGAACAAAGGCATTGTCTCCTGTATCTCTGTCTGTTGCAGTGACTTTCCCAACTATGAATCCCACCGGCACGTTTTCATCTACACTGAATGTGTTCACTGGATCAAACACGGGTGGCCAGTCATTAACATCAATGATCTTTATTACAACTGTGCAATAACCCCTTTTCTTCTCAGGGATTCCATCATCTTCAGCATATACCACAATCTGTAAGACACACAATTACTGGTAATGGGAAATCATACAGATAGGTATTTGCATAAAGCTTAAAATATCCGGATGGTTCCTTAATTTTGGAGTATTCTTAGAACTAAATGCAAAACTTGAATTCACTTCAAAATATTCTTTGTAAATTTAAGCATATTTGTTTGATTTTAAAAGTCTTTCTGTTCAGAACCAACCAATTTACCACCATTTTTGCCTGAAGACAAATAAGATCATAATATTGTTGCAACAATCAAATAAGTTTAATTGAGAGTCTTAGCTCCAAGATCTCAGTGCAGTAGAGATTCAAGCAAACAGAAATTACAATGCATGAACTGTCACCATGAAGTTACTTATTCATGTGCTCCTGTGTCCAGGAACTGGGGGTCTATAAGCCTTGCTTGAATTTCAGGTTAGGTATAGGCTGTGATTTGCTTTAATAAGGAATCATATATTGATGTGCACATTTAAAACAATACAGAAAATGTTCAAGTCCGATCAAGCAAAAAAAAAAAAAAAAAGTCATCAATTATCCAAGGGAAAGATAATGAACTCTGAACTATGAAAAGATTTGAGAAATTTAAAGCAAACCTGATATTCTGTAGCTTCCTCTTCATAATCAAAGGAGGTGATGGAATAAAGGATTCCTGTAGCTTCCTCTATTCCAAATTTTAGGCTATCTCCGCTGAGTATGCCATATGTTAGGAAACCATTTCTGCCTGCATCATTATCCTGAGCTTTCAGCTGCACAATCTGAGTAGCGGGTAAATTCTGTCAAGAAAGAACAGATTGAGCTGTCAAAGACTTTGCTTAGCTGCAGTTTCATGATTTATGTGAAGGAGGAGTAGCAGACACCACATATATTTACAACAGTGTAGATACTTTTCAATCTGAATTAGTTAATTCAGCACAGTAAGAGAAGCTCTTGCCTTCTATAACATATAGAACATTTTCCTCCCCCCCAGCTCCATTTATAACAGTGATCTTCAGGGACTGTCATCATGTTTTCAAACAGGATCAATGATAAATGGAAGCGTCTGGCTTGCCTTTAAGGAATTACTAAAGTGTAGCTTCTAGTCCTCCTTTGAAACTCAAGAGATATTCTCAACTTCAAAATCATGTTTCTGTATGAATATTATTTGGCTAATAGACATTTTTTCATCTGCAAAAACAGAAAAAAATGTCTATTCCTTCCTTTTACCAACTGTTACTTGCATTAACATTGACAGTTAATATCAATGTTTAACTTGCACAGCAATTTGATACCTGATCTAAAGTTACATGACCCAATAGTACCTTCTTTGATCCAACAGTACCTTCCTTGTAAATATTTCACATGGAAATTAATTTTTAAGTTTGGGAAATGTGATTCTAACTCTTCTCCGTTAAACTAACTGAAAACATTAAAAATGTGTAATAATTAAACTATATTTAGCTCAACATTAGAAAATGACTACATTGGGTCTTGAAGAGAATTTATGTGAACTAACTGGTGATCTCAAAGGTGAGATATGTCCTATAGAAAATATAGGTATGATCAATGTGCTTATTTTTAAAAAATCATCTAGCAGTTGATAGTGTGAAAAATGTTGGCTGAGAATGCAGAACAGTGAAATGTTGGGCTAGATGCTTTTGCAGAGATAAATGGCATGGTTTCCATTGCAGGCTTCCAAAATATAACAGCAGCAGACTGGAATCTGCCGTGTTTCATACTACTGATAACCTAGGGGCAAGAAGAGTCATAACAGATTATATTTTATGAAGAGGAGGAATAATGCTACTTTAGATAAGACTTCTGCCTGCTATTCTCTGCATGAAGCTCCTTTATGGGCTGATAAAGGATGACAAGCACATCCACTAGATCAGACATGCACATGAAGATGCTCTGTGTACAAATATGCAAGATGATGTGTCTGTATTTTGCTTCATGAAGATCATTCTCTTTTCCTTTAATATATTCATATTTCTGGACCATTTTCTTTATATTTTGAAAGTTTCAGGTTCAAATAAACCATAGAACTTCATATGGCAGAATGGTAAGCTCTTCCCTTTCCAAGATGTATATTCAACATACTTTTTATTGTTTTGAGTGCTCATTTTTGTGAGTCAGTTTATGACGACATTTTCTTACCTCCTCCAAATTTTCTTCTACTAGAGAGGATGGAAAAACTGGAGCAAAATCGTTTTCATCAATGACTTCTATGTTCACAAGAACTTGGTTATGTATGTTAGAGTTAGATGAATCTGTTGCTTGCACATCAAGATAGACTGGAAAATGTTCTACAGTCAAGTTCTTTCTTGTTCTTATGATACCCGTGGATGGATCAATAACAAAATACCCTGTTTAAAACAAAACAGAACATATTCTATTATTTTATTATTTTTAAACTGGAGATGTGGGTCTTTCAATGCAAGTTACATATTATATATATGACTGTCAACTGTTAAAGTGTCCTTCAAAGAACAAAATAAAATGTAGTATTTTTGTATGCTTGCATGAACGTTATAAGTATCCAGGGCTACAGCTAATAAAAATAAATCTTTCAGAAAGCCAGAATGGGAACAACAGGGCAGCAGTTCACAATTCTCCAGCAGGAGTCCTTCACCTTCCCCTGAAACAGTCAGAGGTTCTGTGAACCTGAGGCAGTCAGCAATTATTGTATTTCCTGTGAACTCCTCTTCTGGCTGATAAAAGGAATTTGCAAATAACTTTAAGAGGTAAGAGCTTCATACACTTTACAGAAGAATAAAGACATACAGGTTATGTTCAATGATAGAATATAATCAGTTCTAGGACTTTTACTAGTAGTAAAAAGAAACATCTGACACAAACCACTGATTCAGGTGATTCCATGTAAAGTCACTCTACATGTTCAAACTTGTTAAGAAAACATTCTCAAGTTAGCTTTTCACCAGCAAGACCTATGTCAGACTAGGTATTGCCTCTCCACGTGGCTGTAATTTTATGCCTGATCAGGTAGCACCTGATCTCCTGTAGCAGATGTGGGAAAGCATAAAGCCAGTGAATCAGCTCTGTATCATGTGGCCCTAGCTAATCTGACAGAAACTCAGTCATGTGCCACACTTGATCCATATCAAATTTGTACATCTGGATCATACAATAGTCTATACATTCGATATTAACACCTGGAGATTGAGATAAAAGCAGAAGAAATAAACCAAAAAGAATAAATATGAAAAATCTAAGTGCTTTGCAGCAATAGTTCTTCAACGCACCTTCTTCCTTGATATTTCGTGTAAATAAACAGCTTACCTTTGCCATAGCTTACCATTTTGATCACCAGATACAATACTGTATATCACGGGGGCATTATACAACACACTGATCTGTACTACAAATGTATCTGGCAGTGCCTTCTCACTCAGAGGGGTGGGTTTGTAGACTGCCTCAGAGAACAGTGGGTATGAAATGTTGCTGGGAACAATCATTATTGACACCTGCAGTGCAAAAAACATGACCACAGTGGTCATATAACTCATATAACTATGTTTTAGGTTTAGCAGACTCTTCAGGTTTGCAAGCGCCAAAGTCTGGAACATTTTCAGAAAGAAAAAGCTTGATCACTGCTGAAAAGTTTGATTGTTGATTTTGATACATTCATATCTCAAAGGTAGCAAAGGTTTGTGAGAGATGCCAGCAACCTCATCAGTTCAGGCTCACCACTGTATTTTCCTAAATGTAGCAAGGGTTTCCAGTTCATCACATACAACACACTTCACATGACCAGTCTGGTTAAACAGCTCTCAGAAGGAGTTACAAATCTGTATTTGTAACAGATTTTTTCACATGGGATATGTATGGCCAGAACAGGAGTTATCAAACTCCTAGTTTGGTTCCAGGGCTTGGAAGTAGGGAATTTTAAGGTATTGATGTATATAAACAACTATAACTAATTTTATATCTCTAAATAATTGATGCTTCATGCTTCACAAAAATAATGACAACTTTTTCTAAGTGGTGCCAGCCAGTTGCTATCTAATGCTCTGAAGAATGAGCTCATAATTCCACATTTTAAAATTCAATTGAATGTAATTTTGTAATGTTTTTATGCATATAGATTTCTAGTCCTTTTTTGACTTCAGTGTAAATTTTAAGCTGTGATGTTTAATAAAAGATCACCAGCCATTTATAAGCAGTGTAAAATTATTTTGTTTTTGTTTATATTTAAGTATCTCTATGCTTACAATTCTTTTTTTTTTCTCATATTATAAGAGGAATAAACAGGAACATATGATACGCTGTCTCTTGTTGACCTTATCACATACTTCCATTACACCATCCTTACTGTCCTACATTTCTTTATGCAAGATCGAAAGATCTTGCATAAAAGTCTTAATTTATCTAATATTCCCCTCTCATGGTCCATAGTTTTGGTCTTTATTATACATTTTCTATTTTTTACATCTTTTTTTCTGGAACTGTATGATCAAAACAATGACACGTTGTATGTCAACAATGGTTACAGTGACATAACTCTATAAATATTATCATTCTGTATCCCATTCCTGAAACAGAGTGGATATTCTGAATCCATTTTTGCAGTTTGCCCTCCTAATACCCATTCCCTGGAGAAGTTACACCCAGTTTAGAATAAGACTATTTGTTATATAAACTGTGCAAGTAGATACTGAAGCAAAAAGTTCAATACCTTGGCAGACGTGGAAAGAGGTGGCACTCCAAAATCTGTAGCAGTGACTGTCAAAGAGTAATATAAAGGAACACTCTGCTCTGACAAGTCTCTTGTTAAATTGAGTTGTCCTGTGCTACTGGAAAGATGAAAGAGGCCTTCTGAGTTTCCATCTGAAGAGAGAAAAAACAGTGATGGAAATGTTCAACAGAGCTATCAGAGTACAATGACTGATTTATATGCCCAGACTTAAGAGACATGGGTTGAAATTGCAATCTGTATATGTGAGTTGGCCCGAGATACCTGGCCTCTCTTGATTCATCATCTAAAGCATGGAATCATTCAGGCTGCAAAGGCCCTCGCAAGGCCATCAGTCCAACCTCTTTCTCAAAGCAGGATCATCACCGAAATCAGACCGAGTTGCTCAAGGCTTTGTCCTGTCCAGTGTTGAAAACCTCTAAGGATGGCCTCCCTGTGAGTCAGAAAGCCCCGTTTCATTTTATGGCTATTTTCACTCGTGCTCCTGTTATGCATTCCATGCTAGTAAACAGCCTAGTTCCATCTTCTCAGTAACTTCCTCCTAAGTATTGGAAGAGAGTTCCCCTACCTGGACTTCAGCTACTGCCGATACTTGTTTTGCTCCTCAAATCTTGCCCCCAGTCACAAAAGCCTGGAATACCTTGTCAGTGAGGACCAAGGTAGAGGGCACTGAGTATGTCCATGGTACCCGCATCCACTATCACAACATCATGCACCACAATTGGCAGTGGGACCACATTTTCCTTTTTTATTCTTGTACTGCTAATGAAGTGGGGGAAACTCTTCCTGTTGCCCCTGACATCCACTGCAAGTGTCAGCTTTGGATAAGCTGTGACTTTCCCAGCACCATCCCAACAGGTCCTGTTTTTACAGTCTTCCTTTGTTGCCTGTCCATGCTTCCACCCTTATATACTGCCTTTTACACCGAGGCTCAGTCCAAAATTCTGTTTAGCAAAGTCAATCTCTTAACATATCTACTTATTCTCCTGAGCATCAGGATGGACCAGTCTTGCAGCTGACAAATACTGGCTATAAAGATCCACCAACTTTCTCTTGAGCAACTTTGCCTGTCAGAGCTGCCTCCCATAGGATCACACGTACCAATCCCCCGAATAAGCTGAAGTCTGGTCTTTTGAAGTCCAGGGTTTGTACTCTTCCATTTGCCTTTCTCACTGCCCTCAGGATCTTTACTGATTACACATAAAATAGTACTTCCTTTCATACAGAGATGTCAGGAACTGTATCAAGGACTGACAGCTTACAAACTCCCTGTTGT